GACAGACTGGGTCATATGGCCTTGGGTGGCAACCAGTCTATGAGAAGGAAACTGAATTCAAACCAGCCTGCTGTGTTGTAGGTCCTGCCTCTTTAGGAAAAGGCTAGAAGGTAACTTCGCAAACAAATCAACATTACAGAGAGGTGGGATGGGGTAATCTCAACATCCCTGGAGCAAAAGGAACTAGCAAGCCTTTGCACTATTCTGCACTGAATACACAGGTAAGTGAATAAATATTTACTCAATTTAATATAAGGTGTAAACAAAACAATGCTCAATGTGGTTAGACAGAGCTAAGAAGTATATATTAATAAATATATATATATATATATATATATATATATATATATACCTACATCTGAAGTAGGTATATGTATATTTATTAATACATATATGTATGCACGTAAAGTTGGTTAATACTTGTCTTCAAAATTATCAAACACTTGACTTTCCAAGTGCATTTCACCTTGGTTTGAAGTGAAAAAATCTCAGCATATTCTTGATACCATTGGTAAGCTCATTACCTTTTTTAGAAACAAGAATATTTTTTGCAACCTTGTACTCTACTATGATAAGTTCAGTTTCAAAAAATACTGCCTATAGAATTTCATAAATGTCAATACGTGCAAGAACTTAGGTGTTGTGCAGGTTTTAGAACCTTGTTAGGTGAGACAAAAAATGTCATGTACAAGTTGATTAATTTAAAAAAAAAAAGAAAATTTACTGAAGAGTAACAGCTAACAAGAATTATTAAAAAACAAAACAAAAAAAAACTTTTGTCTTCTATATATTGTTTGTTTCCTTTGTATTATTTTTGCTGTCCTTTTTCTTTTTGTTATTGCTTATTGGAAACTTTGTCAATTCTGTTTGTTCGGCATTTCTACAAATTAGATTTAACCATGGCCAATTACACTATACAAGTGGACACCTACACAAACTTTCAAATGTATATATTAGATTATTCTGATCTAAATTCACAGGTTTATGAAGTTTGTCTGACTGTCCCATGTACTTTGAAGGCTCATGAAGTCAATGATGTCTTTAATTTTGCCAATTATTTCTAACTTTTAATTGTATATTCAAAAATTAGAAAAAAAAAATCAAGTAGACTGACCTTATTTAAAGTTAAAAAAATTTGTTCATATATATGGAAAAATACATTTCTTAAGAATTAATTGATTTAATATGACATTTTCATTACTTCAAATATTATTTTTAGTGGATCTTCATATTTGAGTAGATGCCCCAAGTTTATAATGTCTACCAGTCTGTGCATTCAAGTAAACTTAATAAACAAAATGTGCTCTCCAGCGCAGTTCAAAACCTGTGACCCCCTTTGATGAAACCACCGTCTGGCTCAACATGAGGATTCTTCTTACCATCTTGCCATTCAAATTCTTTTTTTTTTTTTAATTCATTCACCTCAAGCAAGGCAATGATGCCACTAAGACGCAAAGGTCCCCTGGAAGTGAAATAGAATAAGAAAACTTTAGAAGGAACCAGAAACCTCTACTCCAGTTCAGAAGACATGGGAGGAGTGTAAATTGGGCGATAGGTGAATCTATCTACTCCTATTAATTACTCACCATATCTTTCTTGAGAGAGAGAGAGTGAAAGAGATAATGTAATCGACACTACATGGTAACTGTCATTTTCATAATTCAATTTGATCTTCAGATCAAAATATATATACACACACACACATATATATATATATATATATATATATATATATATATATATATATATATATATATATAAAAAGAAGAAAGAACAGTAAGATATATAATCCAGTATTCTTATTGATACTTTTATTTTTACAAAACAGTGCTCAATGTAAATCAGTTAATTTATAATATTTATGCTCTGCAGAGCATAAATATTATAAATTAACTGATTTAAAAATATAGTTTCATTGCTACACAGAAATTACCATGTTTCAAAAACAGAAAATAAAAACTTAGCGTGTTCTTTTTTATTAACTATTATTGTATCAATTATGAGTTAGTTAATAAAAAAGAATACACTACCACCCCTGTCTAAATGATTGGATTTCTCTGTATCCTTGGAAACTAAAATTATGAATGTATGTGCTTTTAAAACTCAGTAAATTTCAAAATAAGTTATTCCATAATTCACTTGAAGCTGAAATAGAACTAATGATTTTAATTTAATTATATAATTGAATTTGAATTTTTTATTTTCTGTTTTTGAAACATGTTAATTCCTGTGTAGCAATGAAACCATATTTTTTAAATCAGTTAATTTATAATATATATATATAAATTAGCCAAGGTTCACACATTTTGGCACAATAATTCACTTATTTTTTATGCACTGTTCAATGTTCCCCCTATTTGAAGCAGAGTTTACACATTGTAAACATCTTGGCACATATCACTGATATCTTCATAGATCAGTTTCTGACAATCACTTCTAATAATTCTACTTACGTCATTAATTCAATCATTTCGTTTCTTGTAAAGCTTAACAAAATAATTATTTGCAATCATTCCATTGTTCATTTTTGTCTGTTATTTATGCTATGAACCCAATTCTTACAATGTTGAATTCAATAACTTCAAAACTTTCTTACTCCTACAATTAGATTTCCTGTGTTTGATGAAATAAAAAGCTTTTGTTGAATCTAAATTATTCCATTTTAAATATTTACTATAGCTTCTCACGTGGCTGATTTCCTCAAATCAATAAAATAAATTCACTTTGTTTATTATTTAATCTTTTTAAATTTTGTCATCAAAACAATTTGTGTGTATATATATATATATATATATATATATATATATATATACACACACACACACATACTCACAAAATTCTTTAACCTGAATATATATAAAAATATAGTGAAATCAATATTTTCATACAATTTAATTTCCTTTCTATATTAAATAGATCTCTCTCCATCAATACACCTATTTAGCTATCCATTTATCATTTGGCAGACCAAGCATCTGATGGTCTGATGCAAACAGGTTTGCCAGATCTTACCTGTCTCAATCCTCTTTGAATCACAAGAGGGCACTCTTGGTCAAGTGTGCGGGCTACTCTGTCATGCAGAGTTGTCCACCAAAATCAAATTCACATGAATAGCCTCGTCAAACTCTTGTTGGCTTTGCTTTCTACTACCCTTCTACAAGTCCAGTGTCAATGGTCCTGTGGGCGATGGGGCACGCTTGGTTAGCTGGAGGCCCTTAGTCTGTATCCACACACTGGTTGTATTCCTTGTGACCTGTGAGGATGTGGCAACTAGTCTCCTGACTGGGCTGGCCTATCAGGATTCTCACAGCCCACCCCAAGTGGAGAAGCCCTACAAAAGGTAGGGTGCTCATCATATCCATTTGTCATTATTAATCCATTATTTTTCCCTTCCACTTTGTTTCCTTACACGTACTTAACTAGTGTTTGTGCTGATGCTGACAGTTGCTTTCTCAGAGTGATAGGGAACTATTTTTTTTAATCATTTCACCCCAAGCAAGGCAATAAAGCCACGCAGTAAGCCAAGTATTTTTGTATATATAAATGTCTGGGGAGTTTATAATTATTTACTCAGAGTTCTAACTCCCTACAAGCTGATAGGATTAAAGTACTCCTTTAAATAATAGCCTTTACTTTGATTTGAATATCAACTCCCAATGACATATATTCTTCAACCCACAAAATTGGGTGAGAGAATATATGTACTTAGTAAAATTTTCAAAATAGTAAAATAATAAAAAATTATAAATTGAGAGTCATACTAACTGCAAGAAAGCAGTCCCTAATCAACGTCAAAATGAGTAAAGGTATTTCATCCCAAGAAGACATTCTCTGACTACATTACTTTTCATCATAGTGAAAATGGTATCTTGAAGAATTACAGTGGAAGATCTATCAAGTAAAAAAAAAGCAAAACAAAAAAGGTATAAACATGTATGACTGCCAAAAACAAAAAGGAATTGGACACCTTAATGTTAAATATCAGATTTGTCAGTCATCCTTACTGACACAGTAAATTATTAATGGTTAAAACATTCAATGTTAAAAAAATAAATCTAGCAGGTTACAGTCATTCATTACTAACCTACTTGGAAAACTTGTAAAGAGATTATTTATGATCATTTCAGAAATGTTCATTCTTTGAAAATTTGAAAAGAAAAGTTATTTCTTATTGCTAAATTATCAATATATATCCAGTTAATGCTCAGAAATCACATATACCACAATTTATTCAAGTATTTTTAAATGTCGTTGACCAACTGTAAAATGAGTTTCCCTAAGGGTATAATTTTCTTTTCTTTCTAATTTCTTCCTAATACAATATATATAACTATAGCTGTTTCTAAAGCCAAAAAAATTAAGAAAATTTTTGAAGAATGTAAATTTTGCCTGGGAGGCTTGCTTTATTAAATATTGAAGAAAATCTTGGGAAAGAAAAAAACTGCTATAAAATGCAGAACTTAAGAAGAAATGCATAGAAATTATGATAAAGTTTAAACAAGATTCAGCTGAAATGAATTTGGAAAGTTGCTCCTATTTTATCAAAAGCTGTTTCTATAGAAAAAAAAATCTCTTTTAGAGCTTTCTGGAATATATTTTAATATCAAAAACATGTCCTAATTAATTCAATCTAGTTAAATTTATGATAAGTGAAAGAATAAGATAGGATGATTCTCATTTAAATCATTCATCATCCTTCTCAGTTAAGATAATATTCATGGTTATCATTTAAGATGGCCATCATGGTTCTTTGATTCATTCATTTTCAATGGCTTATCAACCCATTGCAGGTTATTTAAAGCCAGGAATTATTTTTATTTTAAAAATTTTTTTGAGAGAAAATGGTTTTATGATACAAGTCTCATTAATTAACCCACAGCTGGGATGGTGAAGAGTATTTGCATATAAGTAAACATAATGAACCCAACAGGAATTGGAACTTGGCTCTCTGATTAACAATTCCAAGTCATTATCTATTATACCCACCAGCACAACCAACCTGACAACACCTGGTTTTCCCAAGTTGTCACCCTATCTAAATACTGTCCAGGCTCAATGTTGCTTAACTTCAGTGATCATACAAGAACTGGTGTTTCAATATAATGTAGCCATAAGCATAACATATGGTTCTGAGTTGGGATGGTCATAGTGGTTTTAAGACAGTGAAGTCCAGTGTGACCATCATAAATGAGAACCCTGATTTAAGATAGATTCCATTTATCTTTAAGTATTTTTTATATATACAACATGTGAAATGTGTGAGATACCCTGCCTTCATCAGCTGCCAAGCAGAGGAGGTAACAAAGTTTTAGTGGCTAAGGCGTACTGCCACCCCTTGTGCCACCAGTATCTTTTGCCACTAGACAGGGTATTGTTTTTAGTGTAGACATGTCAGTCTCTTGTGATTCTTTCTTTTAATTTAGTTTTATTTATCTAATGTTTTAATGGATGATTTAATTGATTTATTGTTTATATTCTATGTTGAAACCAAAATAATGGTTAGTTTTTACATGGTTTCTTCAAGGATATACATCAAACCAAATTCACTTCTGAAAAACATGGATCTGTATTTGTTTTGCTCAATGTATTGTTTCCTTCACATGCATCAATATGTTTTTTTTCTTAATATTTGAGCCCAGTTTTTCTCTAGCCTATTCATGTCAGTCATATTTTTCTTCTAGAACTTCTTTTGGGTTTTTTTTTTTTTTAACCCTGTGGGACTAAATTTCTTGAATTTTCTTGAATCCAAACTCATGGATTATAAGTATTTGCACTTGTCCTTTCAGTTTTTTCTTAAAATTTATTCATTTTATTCTTTTTTCTGTTTTTGATCCTATGTAACTTATTTTACAAGTTAAACATTATTATAAAACCAGCACTACTACTACTATGTATTTACTCTGTCTCCCCACTAAGACGAGTTGTGTCTTTTTTAGGTGGGGACCTGAGTGTGTACACCTGGGCCAGGAACAAAAATTGCCTGCAACCCCAGCAACTGTTGCACTGGCCATGGTGTGAGCACTGATCCCTCTCTCTGGTGCAGTGAGAGAGCATGGCCTCAGGCAGCTGTTCCCTAGAGTTGGGCATCTCTGAGTATAATTTTCCTCAGTTGCAACTCTGTCCTTTGATGGAGTCACCCCAGAGTGCACTCTGCCCAAAGACAGAGATGCAACTGAGAGATAATAGATGTAAACTCCTCCAAAGAGGGGTTTACTCACTAAATAGTGATTTTCCAAGTGTAGCTTTAATGTGGCACAAGGCCGAAAGCAGGTTCCACCCAGTGAGGATTGAACTCCCTATTCAGTCATATTTTCCCTTGTGAGACAAGTTTGCTAACCATTACACCACATTGAGATTCCCAAAATAAATACAATGTATTTAGTGATTTTCCAAGTGTAGCTTAGATGTGTCACAAGGCCAAAAGTTTGGGGCACTCAGTGAAGTTCAAACTCACTACTCAATCATAATTGTTCTAGCGAGATAAGCTTGCTAACCATTACACTGCCTCGAGGTGCCCTAACCACTACTATCACTAGACTATACTGTGTAGACTTGCTGTCATATCATCTCCATTGACAGCCACTAAAGATCTGGTATGAATATACAAATATTTATACTACTACTCTTACTACATCTAATAATAATAATAATAATAATAATAATATTAGGAATAGCTAATAAATTTTTATATGTTTATTCTTATGAACATACAGTTGAGTAGACTTATACACTGTTATGCCAAAAGCTATAGAATAGGTGACTAGCATTTAATCAGAACTCCATCTAGCCTGGCAAAGTATTTAGATGTGTCACAAGGCCAAAAGTTTGGGGCACCCAGTGAAGTTCAAACTCACTACTCAATCATAATTGTTCTAGCGAGATAAGCTTGCTAACCATTACACAGTATTTCATCAATTCCCTGAGTGGTCAGAAAATCTCTGAAGAGCTACTGAATGATGGCATTTTGATAGCTTTCTTATATTTGTAGGTGAAGTATCTTATGTATGAAGAGACCTCTACATCACATCCCATAAATGCTTGATTGAGCTTATGTCACACTTGTGTGGGCTGAAAAGTTCATATACTGTCTATGAAGGAGTGATGCTAGAGCTGTGAAATATTGCATGCATTAATTTCAACTCTTCTTATTAATAATTGCATTTTTTATTTTCAGATAAACTGATATTTGTCTGTTCCAAGATGACTTCAAAAGTAACTAGTAGCAACGTCTCTAGAAAATGGATAAAATTTGGCATTGTGGTGTTATCAAGTACCTGCAGAAAAAGGATTTAGCCCCTCTGCACCCCAGGACATTCATGCTGACATGATTGCTGCATTAGAGGATGCTGCTCTAGTTTCACCAACAGTGCAAAGGTGGGCAACTGAATTTAAGAGGGAAAGGTTGAGTATTGATGATGACCCAAGGTCTGGATGTCTTGCAACTGCCACCACCAAGGAAAACATTGATTGTGTTCACCACATGGTGATCGATGACAGGTGATTAACTATAAATCAAAAAGAGAAAGTTGAGAATATTCTGCATAATGAATTTGGAATGATGAAGGTTTGTGTTTAGTGACTGCCATGTCTTTCAATACCTGAATATACTGAAACCAATTTTGAGCAGCTAATTAAAAAAGAACATAACCCTTTAAGGAAAAAATATTTTGAAAATATATTCATAGAGTTACAACCTACTATAAACACTTGTTTAAAACATTAAACCATATGATCATTTTTCTACAGATTCATTATTCATGAATCTAACTTATATTTCAAATAATGATGATTTTACAAAATTTATTTGCAAAATTACACGTTAGATCTAACCAAAACTAGATTATTCCCCACACACAAGAACATAAAAATCCAACCAAATACAAAATTATTTTGCAACATATTGCTACATTTCACCAGCAAAATACAAGGGTGACATCTGTAGACTTCCCTCATATACACACTTATGCACTTACATGGATTAACGTTACCATCCTACATACACCTACACACAAGCATTTCTTTACTTACACACTCTTATACTATCAGACACTTTAACATCCTAAATGTTCTTCACACATATTTATATATTATCTATTGTATTTATACATGTGAGACATGTCTGACCAATGAGAACTGCCAAAAATCATAACATACCAGTACTCTGTGTCTTTGATTTTTCATTTCTATTCTCAATCTCTGAAAAAGCCTTAATAAAGGTGAAACATGTTAGATTGAGATTTGTTTCCTACTTTATTCTTTATTTATATATATATATATATATATATATATATATATATATATATATATATATATATATATATATATATATATATATATATATATACACACACACACACACACACACACACATATATATACACACACGCATATATATACACACACACACACACATATATATATATATATATATATATATATATTTTATTGTATTCAGTTATTCTTTTATTTTTCTGTAGTGATTCTGTATGTAGATATGGACATGTATTTTGGATTTATAATGTATATATAGGTAGATTTATACTTATTTCTTCTGGTATATACATACATTCTTTAGTTGAGAATGTATATGTGTATATATATATATGTGTGTGTGTGTAAGTATGTACACTTTGCAATCAACTATGAGTACATCGTGATAGAAGTGTATGTATAGATCTAGATGTAAGTGCATTGAAATAAATGTTCAATAAAGTGATATGCAAATGCGTGTACCCATAATTCAACTGTCTGCCTGTTGACTGAAAACCTAAGCCTTTATTAATCAGTTATGGCTCCTGTGTTCTTGAGTGTTAAGGTCCTTTTCATGTAATGTGTCCTGTAAACAGAATCTAAATGTGCATCACTGATACACAATCTCATAAATACAACATTACAATATGCAATAACATCTTCCTGAGTATATACTGTGAGAAAAGACAAAAAAGGCAAATGCAAAGAGAAAAAGAAAAGAGGAAAAGTAGAAAAAGGAGAAAAATAGAAAAGTCAAATAAGAACAAAAATGAAAGATGAAAAAGGCAAAGAGGAGGAAAAAAACAAAGAATAAATAAAAAAGGTACAGAAAAAGCAAAGAAGAGAAAAAAGAAAAAGGAAAGAAAATGTAAAGAGGAGGAGAAAAAGAATAAAAAAAATCAAAGAATAGTAAAGTAAGAGGAAAAGGGAGAGAGAAAAAGAAGATAAAAAGGGAATGAGGGGAAAAGAAAAAAAGGATAGAGAAAAAAAGCAAAGAGTAAAAATAGATGAAAAGAGAATACAGAAAGTAAAAAAAACAAAAAATGAAAAGAGAACAAAAGTATAAAGCAAAAAAGAAAAATAAGAGGAGGAAAAGGAAAAGAGAAAAAGGAAAGAAGAAAATGAAGAGACAACGAAAAAAAGAAAGAAAAGGAAAAAAAGAGAAAAAAGGCAAGAGAAAAATGAAAAAAAATAAAATAAAGGTAAAGAAGAAAGAAAGGAAGAGAATAAAAGTAAAGAGAAAAATTAAATAGAAAGGAAAAGAGTAAAAGGGGATAAATGAAGAAAGGAAAAATTTGTCGTGAAGATATATAATTGAATAAAATAAACAAAAAATATGCATCTACAAAATATTTAAAAGATGAATGAATAAAATATGAGAAGAAATGAGAAAACAGTACAACAAATCTAAAAGGAAAAATTATCAGATAAATAAAGAAAAATATATGAAGTACATGATATTCAATCAAGAATAAAAATGTTATTTTCTTGCATTTTATTTTCACCCAAAAGCGTTTGGTCCCAATTTTTGGAAAATATAAAAGAGCAAACTATTTACTCAGACAAATCCTTATAAAAAATATGAAAATATATTCCTAACTCTGTTTCATAATAGTTGTTATATAGTTTTATAAGGGCAAAAACTATCACAAGATATGTATTATAGCAGATGGAATACTTTAAGATACTAATTAATAATGAATATGCAGCTAATACAAATTAATAATTCTTTTTTTTCAAATGTCAAGTAATATTCACTATGTACATAGAAAGTATTCAGATGAATTACATTCCTTAGTTCCACCAGTTCTGACCTTCATGGCTAAGACCTGCCATGCAACAATAATGGGTATGTCCCCATTCACATAAATACAGTAGTAGATACTGTATGTTGGTCTGTGGAATTTAGTTGACAATGACTTCTACATGCCGCTAGTAAATCTTATGTTTGTTGTTCATGTCCTAAATATTATCTTTCTTTACCAACTTTCATTTGATTATTCTATTCAGTAACCTTCCCTCGGTTACAACACTATGCTGTTTTGTGAGACTACTGATGCTTCCCTGATTACTACAATCTTAACCTGTTCAAGTCGAGGGTCAACTGTTATCTTTCTCACATATCCCATTAAACTGTGTTGCTTATTTGAGTGGCTCTTGGGCTTTGTACAGGATGAACATCATTGTCAAAAACCAAACAAAAAATGCTGCTGAACATCTTGCTAGTGTAGGGGAGGTAATTTAATACCGAATAAATGTTTGTCTAAAATACTTTGTTAGTTTCAATAGCTTGAAAAACAATCAGTTTTAAGATTATAAGAAATGAGTTCTGATTGTATCTCTATCATATTCTCATTATTATTATGTAATCTAGAAACTGCAAAATTTTCAGGAGATGGAATCTACAACCAGTTTGGTGAGTTGGCACATTTCCATTATGATTTGAGAATTCTTTGGAGTATATGAACAGTCTCAAGAAGTGCAGTTTTCTGCAAGTGTCCAATTTTGACATTGACCCTCAATCTTCTCCAACCACTTTGAAAAATCATGACATGGTGCCAACAACAGTGGGCATGGCTTCCATTCTTTTCACTGACAACAATTTATACACTTTCCATTTTAAACTATCGCAGTTTTTTTGTTTTACTTCTTTGTTGATTTCTACTACTTCTTCAATGTGCCAGATCCTTTCAGAACATGGGCAATCATAGCTCTCCACAACTTCCTATGTTTTGTAGGTAATGCAATATCTTTGATGATGTATGTTATTTGTTCTTTATTAACAAAATGATCGATTTTCTGTACAGTACTCCATGCTCACACTGGATCATGGCATCCCACAAAAAGTTTGGACTTGTATTTTCAATGACACTTTCTAGAGTTTTTCCACACCACATTTTTGCCCTTTCCAATCCATACTTGCCACATAATTCCCAATGTATCCTTCTTACAATATTATCATGTCTCCTTTTGTATTCCCTCTTTGCCGACTTTTCTCAATTCACTGATGATATGCTACAATGTTTCTCCTTCACCACACATCCTGCATTTATTGTCAATTGTATGATTTATTATGCACTTAACATAGTTTGTTCCGAGTGCTTGTTCTGGAGTTGCACAAATCAATAATTATTATTTTCTGTTTGATGTAATTCTTTACCAAGTCTTTCACCTGAAACCTGAGGTAAAGGAAAGTTTTTTCTCAGAAAACTGTTGACCATATATTATTGAGATAGTTTTTTTTTACAAGGGTCAACTAAAAAGTTCATAGGCTGGCAAAGATATAAATCTAATTAGACACACCAGTTGATAGACTAAAGACATGCAAGAGTACCAGAATCCAACATCTGATCAACTAGCTCTTGTATTCTGGTATCCTTGCATGCCTTTAAGTCTACCAATGGTGTGTTGACTTAAATTTATATCTTACTCATCCTATAAACTTTCCAGCTGACTGTGATATTTGAGTTGTAAAAATGTCTGCAATCATTGGTATTTCAGATTATGATCAATCCCCTGAGTGATTCTTAATCTTTGTATCAGTATTCTTTTTAATAATTCTCAGTGTTCATATTATTACTGGAATAGCAGTTGTTCTTGAATGTAGCATTTTATACTTTGAAAGTTTGTCACATACTTTTTCTGAGATTTTTCTAGAATAGCCATATCCATGAAGGCCTAAAATGAAGTACTGTTGTCATATTTGGGTGGGAGCTGCCCAGTCCTCACTTTCCAGTCTCAGCAGAGTTCAAAAGTGTCTCTGAGTCCTTGTGGGTGACAAATTATTTTTCACTCCCACTAAACTCTTTCTCGCAGGTGGGATGTGGCAAGCCTCTCTATTGCTACTTCCATTGAAATTGCTTAGATGAACTACCTTCTTTGGTTCTGCCAGTTCTAATCTTCATGGCCAAGAACTGTCATGCCACTTACATTGTAGCAACCACCCTCATTCTCTCCGTATACCATTGGTGATAAGTAGGTTTCATTCAAACACATTTTTCCCTTGAACAACTGCTCTGTGGAGGCAACTCCCAAGAGGATGTTTTCTTGATCACTACAATCTTAAACTGTTCAAGTCTTGGCTTAACTCTTGTCTTCCCCTTCTATCCAAATAAACTTCCTCTTAATGTAACCCTTTATCTCAAATGCCCCCCAGGTCTTGTAAAGGGTGAATCTCACTGTAAAAAACAAAAAAAAAATCAACATTATTTGAAGTTCTTATATTATATAGGGGGCAGCGATCAAGTCTTACACTTTTATATGGCTGCTGGTTTAGTGTTAGTTGAGCTAGGCAGGTTGTAATGGCATTTTTATATTGCTAATGTTTTACTATTTTTTTAGTATGCCTTATGTAGGATAAATCTTTCAGAATATTCTCTGGGACATCTTGTATAAAGTAACAGGAATAAGATAAAAGAAATATTAGTAAAAAATTAATACGTGATAATGTTTCATTGAAGAAATTTGAATTATATTACAACTCATAGTACAAGCCTAATAATAGCCAAAAGAAATAAGATGAAAGAAATACTAATCAAAAAATAACATTTTTCATTCTATGAACATGTTGAAGAATAGAAAAGGCATCTAATTATCTGGTTTTTAAGATTACCAGTTTAATTTGCAATTATTTATTGTTTGCTAACATTTTCCAGTTATTTTTCTTCTTTTATGAGAACAAATCAAGACAAATTGGAATAATAATTGATGTGACCTGACTGTGCACAGATTGAAATGACCAGAGATTTCTATTCAAGAATTAAATTTTTAATTCAATTCTATTTTGAAATCATGATTTTTATTTTCACTGCTAATAGCATATTTTTTTAAACACTGGATACAATCAAAGATAACTTCATGATTATGAAAATGAGTTTTCTCATTTTTTTAAAATTTGGTTTTTCTTTTTTAATTTAGTTTGAGGCTGGAAACATGAAACATGGTTTTAAAAATTATGAAGTATGTAAAATTTGGAGTTGAGTAATTATGCCAAATTTTTAATATTCTGTGAAACTGACATCGTGTATGTACTAATATTAGAAACTATGTGCTGAAGTATTGTCAGTTATTAATTTTTGACTAAAATTTATTTTACTTCTGTTTATTTTTGTCACAACTTGCAGATTATCATCATTCCATAAAGAAGGCTCAGTAATAAAAAATGAGATTTTGGATTAAAGTTCAAATATTACAGGAAGCTTATTTGTATTTATGAGCCATTGCTGTTTACTTCAAGGAGTCATGATAAAAAGCAATAAAAAAAAAGATGTATTAAAAAAAAAAGATGTCATGAAAAGAAACAAGAGAAAAACTTCAACTACAGTAGTTGGCAATAGGAAAAATAATGAAAAGAGAAAAAGAGACAATAGAATGAACTAACCAGTTATTGCTCCTTACTTGTCAGGCTTTGGTTAAGGAGGTTAAAATATTGTTCCTACCAAGTAAAAAGGTGTAACATGAGGAAGGAAATACATCTCAATAATATATTGACATGTGTATATCTATAGACAGATTATACTAAGTCTGAAAAGAATTGGTTTTTAGGACTTAGTTTGATTTGTTTATAGATATGTCTGTCTCTAATATATTACTGATATATATTTATTTTCTTTCCTTATGTTTCACTTTTTAGTTGGTATACACAATATCTTCATTTCCTTGAGTGAGGAACATGTCATTTTGGATTTTTCACATTTTTTTCTTTCCCTGTTGCCAACTTCTATAGTTAGAGTTTACCTCTTGTCTCTTTTCATTATATCTGTTTTTACTGCATTAATTAAATTAGTAAGATGAACGAAATACATGTATTATTATATCCTCATCTTTGTTGTTATTATCACAATGTTTCACTTGTTGTGCACTTGAGGCATATTCAGGTGTCTGTCGTTTTTGGGTAAACTTCAGAAAATTTTTAACTAAGTCCTTTATTAAATCTATAGTAGTAGATTATTCTCCTTCTGTTGTTCATGTTACCAATATTCCATCCAGTTTTTTTTTCATTTTCCTTTTTTTTATGAAGCCTCTCAACATAAAAAGTGTAATGAGAACAATCTACTTCCATTGATTAAATAAAGTGTACACATTAAAATTCCCTGAAATTTACTTGGATTGATGGAGACTTAAAGAAGGCCAAGATGTCATCCAAAGTGTCATCATAACAAAGATGAAGATATTAGTCTAAATGGACAAAATGTAAATAATGATAACTCTTCATCCCAGAAATTACATTGTAATTTGATTATACAGTTTAACCTGACTAATTGTTGGTTAGTAGCTGCTCAAGAAACCTGACCTTGAATCTAAGTTGATCAGTCTGACAAACTCTTGAATTGCTACAAAAAG